GAGGGGGGTTGTCACTTCGAGGGGTAAAAAGTATAACTATTGCACTGTGTTGTACAGCTGAAACTAATTCTAAAAAACGTGTATTTCATAATAAAAAATAATTTAATAAAAAAAAAGTTTGAAAAAAAACTCAGGTGATGGAATTTTTTTGATAATTACACCTATTAAAAACATACAAAAACATATTAATATTCTTCAGAGATTCAATGAAATAAAGAATCTACTAAAAACTCTATTATGAACTTCCTAGAGTAATCTGAAGTAAAGAGAACTTGGGTCAATGAAAGTGCCAACAGGACCTATCAGCTCATGTTTTCTGATAATTTAACAAAAAAATCTCAAGAGAAAAGAAAAAACTCAAAACCATTTAAAGATACAGACAAAAGATCTACAATCTGATAAATACAGAATGCTAAATCTTTCATACCTTCTTTTATTTGTCACTAAAAGGTGATAATTTTTTTATATGGCTTAACTTGCTATTATAAATTCTTATTATATCCAATCAAGGATTTAAGAGAACAAGAACACAGGAGATAAGAAAAACCACAGGACCAAAGAATAAAAAATTATCATCACCACTAATGGTCTAAGTTGTAAACAAATTACATGGCTATCAAACTGGGCCCTGAATTTCAATTGGCAATTCTCGTCCCATTTGTTTACAATGTGCCCTTTAAAGACACCCCCATTTGGAGGAGAGAATTTCTTGTTACCTATTTAAGTCATTTCCTATTACTTCATTTTTGTGTAGTTACAATATCTTTTCTTTAGTCCTTTGGTCTGCTTGACTATGGCCTTATCAACAGAAACTGTCTTGAGTTGTTAATATTTAAAAGAACAAACTTATGCTTCAGGCAAAGATGGGGTAACAGAGACGTATTTTTAAACTCTTGACTGAAACAACCAAAACCAGAAACAGAAATAAAATAAAAACCCATACAAAATAATATGAAACAGCAGTTATCAAAATGATGGACAGTTATCCTAAGAGATGGGAAACAAAGGAAGTGAGTCCTACATCTCCCCAACTCAGTGCCTTGAGATAGTTTCCAGGCAGTGACACAGAGAGGGGGGAAGCAAGCTGAACCTGGGCAGATTCTCAGAGTTGAATACATGAAACTGAAAGTCCAGAGAAATCAAGGTAACTAGAAACCAAAAGACAGAGTACTGGAGAGGAGACTGATGCACAAAGAAAAAACTTAGGAGGTCTTCAGAGGGCCAGTGCTGAGTATACAGCTGGGTACTAGTCAACACTTCTGTCAGAAAACTACCCTCAACACAGGAAAGGACCACCTGAGAGGATTAAAGGTACCAGTGCTCGGCACTCACACAAGGCCAGGAGCAGTGCCTGTGCCTGAGTCAGAGCACATAACTTGAGGATTCCCAGGGCTTTAGGTGAAGTACAAAGAGAATCTTGCCTTAATAGTCTAGACTAACTACTGCTCTGTTTGAGCCTAACAAATCTTCATTTTATTTAACAAAAACTGTATATATTTAAAGTGTACAAACATGATTATTTTATTTACGTATAAATAGTAAAATTATTACTGCAGTCAAACTAATTAATGTATCATTTCATCACATAGTTACCTTTTTTTTTCCTTTGGTGGTGAGACCACCTGAAATCTACTCTTGGCAAATTTCCAGTATTCAGTACAGTAAGCCTAACAAATCTTAAAAGGAACACCTAAAAGGACCAAGTTGCTTCAGAACAAAGCTCTGGAGTACTGACAGAATTTAACAGGCTCAAGAATATTAATCAAGTACAAAAGTATCCAGCATCCAACAAGGCAAAATTCACAAAGTCAGGCTTCCAGTAAGAAATAAATAGGCATGCAAAGAAGAAAGAATATATACTGAGAATGAGGAGAAAAAAATCAATCCATCTATAATGACTCAAAACTGAAACAAATGTTACTGAGTACTGGTAGATTAGAGAACTGACTAAAGAGAAAGACCTTAAAATGGCCTGTGATTCAAAGTGACATAGCAGCATTGCTTCTGAAGAAAAAGAAGGTAAAAAGGAGGGAAGGGGTGCCCTTTGGAGGTTGAGCAGTGAAGAGAAAAACAGTAGGAGTGGAAAATTTACAATCCAGCAAGGAAAAAAATAAGCAAAATAATGGAGGACTCAACAATTGCCTCCACCACCACAAAAACAAACAAACCCAACACAGGCTGTCTGTAAAAGAAACTGAACTTTGCTACACTGGCAAAAGAGAACGCTCTTAAACTCGTTATCCTATAAACTACCTCAATTGCACAAAATGAATAAATTAAAACATACAAAATCTATACAAGCTACAATAAGAAAACAAATAAAATAAAAACCAAAATGAGAACCAAAACAACTCAGTTGATTAACCCCACCTCCAGACACCACCCCGCAAAAGAACAAGCATGAAGCAGAAAACTGTAACTCAAAAATGAATTAAATATCCTCATATATATGAAACACCAGGAAGAAATGGAAAGAGCACTGAATGAACTCAGAAAATAAATAAAAAGATAGTGAAATGAAGACTAATTTATAAGATGCCTCAGGGAAAAAAGTACAAATGGAAATTTAAAGGGAACTGAACAAAGGCAGGAAGATAATGAAGAATATAAAGTGATATAAAAAAATAAGTGAAAAAGATCAGAGAGAAGGTGGCTGAAATGGAAGACAAGAAAAGAAGACCTGTCTCTAAACAAGAAAAAAACAAACAATAGACCACAACTAAAATTTAAAACTTTTAAATCCATGAAAACTTTTCAAAAGTAAGGCAAGACTAGAATTTACATATTGGCAGAGTCCTGCAATCATTAATCTGTAATGATCAACTTGAAGACATACCCTAAACTTTAAATATAAAGAAAAAAGGGCCGGCCGAGTGGCTCAGTTGGTTAAGAGCTCACTCAAGAGTTTGAGCTCTGAGCAACAGCGGTTCGAGTCCAGCCCGAGCTGAGCAGCAGCTGAGCTGCCAACAGGTAGCAGGATGGCTCAGCTAAAAAAAAACAAAAACAAAAACAAAAACAAAAAAAAAATAAATATAAAGAAAAAGTTCTGAAGACTGTCAAGTAAAAAGGTCAAATAACTTATAAGGGCAAGAGAATGAGACTGGCAATAGATTTACCAAAAATAACAAATAAAGCAAGAAAACAATAAATTAGTGTTTTCAAAGAACTCAGGGAAAGAAAGTATGAATCAAGAATTTTATATGTAGCCAACATGTCCCTTCAAACATCAAGACTTTAAAAACAACAGGGGATTCTGTATCTATGAGCTCTTCATGAATAATCTACTAGGGGAAGACCTCCACCCAAACAAGAGATAAACAGGGAAACTTCAGCAAAATAGTTAATGTGATCATTTAATAAAATTAATATACATCTAAGACAAAAACAAGTGTGGGAAGTAGGGTGAAAGAATAATATGCAAAATTACATGTTCTGACAAAGTAGAAATCTAAAAAACAAGAGTAGAAGGGAGAAGAAAATAGTTCATGAATTGTTGGGTCACAGGTGATAATTAAAAGAATATTATTCATTAAAAAATGACTAGAGAGCAATTGGTTAAGTAAAAATAGTAAATTAAAGGCGTTTTAAAAATTTATATACAAAGGTAAACAACCAATAGAACAAAAATACAACCCTCTCTAAATATCAAAAGAAATTAGAAAAAATAAAATAATAAACATGAACCATAAACACAGCCAATTTAATGTAGCATAATATAAAATTATAAGAGTTGAGACTTAATCTATAAATTACATCAATAAATATAAACAGATTTAACTCATCTATTGAGGGGGAAAAAATTTGAATTTGTCTCACAAAGTAGGACCAAGCTATACTAAGTACAAAACACACACCTACAACAAAAGGATCACAAAAGGCTAAAAATAAAAGGATGACCAAAAGTATTCTGGGCAAATAGAAATAATAAGAAAACCAAGGTTGATATTACTATTTAAGTAGAATTCAAGCAAAGGACACTGAATGTGACAACAGACATTTTTTAATACTAAAAGTCACAATTCAAAATGAATAATAGGAGACTTTAAGACAACATTCTCTGTATAAGAGAGATCAAGTGTAGAAAAAAGGATATAGAAGACCAACAACATAATTAAGAAGGTAGGGGTTGTGTATATATATATTAAAATTTTACACTCTGAATAGAGAATACATCTTATCAAATGCACATGGTACATTCACAAAAACTGATCACATATTAAGTAAAACAAAATACTGGTAAATTTGATCAAATAGAAACATTACAAATACTCTTTGATCACAAAATAATAAAACTAGAAACTAACAAAAATTTAAAAACAAAAAGGTTCTTCCTCTTGAAAACTAAAAAAAAAAATTATTGCACAAGTTTTGGGTAAAAAAGTAATATAAACTGAAATTACATTTTTCTTAAAAAAAATTAAAACTTTACACATTAAATAAAATACATCTGAAGTAGTAACAGAGGAAAATTCATAGCCTTAAAAACGTGTATCAATAAAAATAAATGAATGATTCAAATCCCTAACCCAAAAGCTAGAAAAATAAGAAAGGAAAACAAAAGAAAGGAAATAAATAAAAATATTAAAAGCAGAAATCAGTAGAGAATGGGGGAAAAGTAGGCATAATAAATAAATCAAAATCTTGTTATTTTGGAAAAAATTAATAAAACATACAAATGACTAGCTAACTTAAAGAAAAAAACACAAAGCTACAAAATACAAACAGGAAATAACTGAAATAAATTATTAATAAATCTAAAAAGTTAGATGAAGTGGATAATTTCAGAAAAAAAAATCTATTTACCAAAATTTATCCCATAGGTAGAAAGCTTAAAAGAAATAAAGGGACTTATGAAAGAATTATGCCACCAGAAAGTACCAATCCCAGATGGTTTCACAGGGAAATTCTACCCTATCTTCAAAGAGCAGAGAGAATGCTATAAACTGCCCCTGATTTTTGGGGGGAATAAAATGCATATATAAATACTAAGTGTATTCAACAGTGTGGCTGCTATCCAGGGGCCACCAATCCAAACCTCTTAAGTCATAAACTTTGTTCAGTACCAACTGGTTTTCCAACTTTCAATACTCACCTCCAAATGTAGCCTAGGTCCTAAAATCCTAGAAACATCCTCTGCTGACTTTCCCTTTCTGAGCAGTTACTAAGACCTAGTCAAGGTGGATTCACTTACTGTAAAATAAGTTCATAAACTTAGCCTTG